GCATGAGCAACAATGAACATAGCTTCCCCATGCACAGGGCGCACCCGTTTGACGCTGACAATGTATGGCCAAAATAGAAACCAATTAGCACACGCTGTGCACCACTGAGATGCGAATCAACGTTATATGTCTGGAGGCAGTGCTATGCCGACACCATTGGTGTCGTGTTTCCGCTCCGCAAAGCAAGCAGGCATCACAATTTAATTATATTTTTACAATGTCCTGATCCAGTGGAACAGCATTGCATAGGCAATATGTCCGAGCGATACCTTGCATAAATTGCATGCATCAGTGTCACACAGTTTGACTCTTAGCGATTATGCAGCGATTTGCTTATTGTGAAGCTCGGCTTTCTTTTAAGACGCGTCAGTTACTTAGTCTGATATCTATTGTTACCGGGGAACTCCTTGTCACCCGCACGTTAGAGGCGTTTTCCGGATTTTTTTTGGCACCCGAATCTTCTCCCGTGCATAAACTAGCGTCCGTCGAAAGGCCCTTGCCTCTCAAAATCAACCTTCATTGTCAAGGCCAGTGCCAAATGGTGGGGTCTCCAATATCGCCAAGAAGTCAAAGGCTGATTTTGAATTTTTAAGCATCATAATTTTTCTCCGCGCACATCTATGGAAATTCTCAGCGAATCTGGTATTGAGAGGTGATAAATTCTGGACAGACACTGGTTCATGCGGCAAAGAAAGCCATGATGCTTTAGAACTCAAAATAATCCTGTGTCTTTTGACGTTATGATAATGGATACCCTTCGCTCGGTTGGGGGGTTAATTTGACCTCCTGAGTACTCGGCCATTAAGAGAGCTGAGAAACCAAGCTCACAGAGTGTGATGGCGTGTATGTGAACTCACTGAGGTCAAAGTTTTAGGTTCCTGGATCATGACCTTCGGGTCAAATAAGGTCAAACGAGGTCAAACTTTAGGTTGGTCTCCAAAGTGCCCCGTAACCTAGAAACTTGCTCTAAGCAAAAGCTCATGTGCTCATTTAAGGCCAGTGATCTTGTTTGGCTTTTAGAACGTCATGGTGACTAAAATCATACAAGACCGTTCTGAGTGCTGCCTTTGAATAAGCAACAAAGATTGCGCTAGGCAGTATACTCCTAAAAGCAACATGTTGACTCCGGTCATTTTAGGCAAATGACTAATTTTAACCTTCAGAAGTATATGGGAGATGCATAATGCGGCTTCTGTTACCAATAATTTCGGAATGAGCACCAGAAGCTACCCTAAACAGAGAGTCATAATGTAATAAATCAGGCTGGTTTCGAACTTGGTCTGACCTTCATACCTGGACCGAGGTCAGTGGAATTTGTTCGTTTAATGGTCGCGTTGCCCACGAAAGTATTTGAAAGATGTATGGCTTCGTCTAACACTACTTTGTTGTATCGGGTTGAGCGATGCCCGGAATTGACTTCTATGAACCCATGGCCAAAAAACCAAATTCACAGGGTGTGTTGACCTGTACGTGAACTCACTTGGGTCAAAGTCTGGAGTTCCTTGGTCCTTAACTTCGGGTCAGATAAGGTCAAACAAAGCCGAATTCCGCATTGGTCTCCAAAGGGCCCCTGGAACCTAAATAACTGTTCTAAGCAAAAGCTCACCTCATCAAAGGCCAGTGACCTTGTTTGATCTGCTGAAGTTCGTGGTGACCAAAATCATATAGGACTGTCTTGAGTTTTGCATTTGGATAAGCAACAAAGATTACGCCTGGCAGTATGTTCCTGAAAACAATATGTTGGCCTGGGTCATTTTAGGTCAGTGACCTATTCTGGCCTATAAGAAGTCCATGAAAGGTGTATAACGTGGTGCATGTTATCAATATATTTGAAATGAGCACCAGAAACCAGCCCATGCATCAAGTCCAAGAGAAATAAAACAGGTTGGTTTTGACCTTGGTCTGATCTTCATACCTGACCCTAGGTCAATGCTATTTGCTTGTTCCATTGTTGCATTGCCTGGAAGAGTACCTCAGAGGTGTATGGCTTCGTCTAGCACTCCGTAGTTTGATCGGATTGAATGATTTCCTACAACGTGCCTTCGCTAAAACCATCAGGCCTAGCTTTGGCCTCCCATAGGTCAGCGACCTTGCAAAGTACATCCGACGTTTTTATGTCAGACGATCCGCTATTCAATTGTCTACAGCTATGCCAAATTTGGCGTGGCTACGCCGCGCCGTTCGGAAACTATTCCGACAAAAACCTTCGGCGGGGGACAAGTTGCCCCCCCCCCAAGCGCGTGTTAAGATACTGCTTAGAATGTGGTCAGAAACCAACAAGAAACCAAATTCAGACCATGCATTTGGCTCTATCAAATATTATGGTACAATACGCAGCATGCCTCGCATTTCAGACGACACGCTGAATATCTACCAAATGGCAACCGGAACTGGTGTTTGCGAATGAAACCACGAGACGCGGGAACTAGGATCTGATGTTTTCTGAGTAAACCATTAGGAACCAGATAACCAGGGCCAGTGCAAGAAATCAGTGATTAACATGAACCAGGGTCTTGCGTTTTCCGAGCTTGGTGGGAACTTAGGCCGGGGTCTGGCGTTCGTGGAAAGTCATTGAGAATCAGAAACTAGGTTCTGGTCTTTGTGAAGGAAACAGTGAGAACCAGAAAACCATATTTTTGTTTGCGAAAAACAGTGAACGCCAGGAACCAGTGAGTGGTGTTTGCAGCATATCCAGTGACATCTGAAAGAAGCGGATGGAAACAGAATCCAAGATCTCGTGTTCAGGTTTGGAAGCGGAAAGCACAAACCAATGTTGGGAAGTAATCTCGTGCCTGTCCTGAACCACAACTGACGTAAAAATCAGAATTCGTGACGGATATCAGCGCTGGATGCAGCCCGGTACCGTGTGCGTCGCTGCTGCGCGCGATTTTTTGTCATTTCTTTTAAGGGGACTTGTCGCACGTCGGCACGGCCTTTTCATGGAGTGCCAGTGATTGCAATGGTCATCTTTGCGCTCAGGGCCCACCAGGCAGTCGGGATTCGAGCCCTTGCCCCGCACGCGGGAGTCCGGCGCCCTAACCATCCGGCCTTTGCGACGCCAGCTCGAATGACCACGCGGGGTTTCCAGCAGCGTAAATAGAGGCTAGCGGGTGCCCATAACAGATTGTCCCCCTGACAGTCTAAGGACGCGTTCATTGCGCGGATTTTGCCAGCTGGCTACCACCGGAAGCGCTCTGCAGGTGAGCGCGGGCGGCCTCGTTACGCCTAGCCCAGATGTGCTAGGTAACAAACTCATCGGAGCCAGGGGTGCACCAGAGCGGGACCGTGCGGCATTCCATTCCGTGTCAGGCGCCAAATAACGATAGCACTCCCTTTCCGATACTTTTGACCTGTTTGTTCACTTGTACACCAATCGACCTAACCACATTAACTATTTGCCCTCAGAATTGTGTACCAAACCGACTTATACCCGTCACCTTTGCATCCGACTTCTGTCTCGGAACCCTTTCCCGCTCAAGAACCCTCAAGCCGTCATTCTGACACGCGACAAAATGCTGGGCGGAATTGCGCCCAAAAGCCCAGTGGCTCCCAGCCAAGCCTCGACAGTGAGTGGAGTGTTCGAATGCACGGTGAGATAACACGATCTGACTGGGTTGAAGTGCAGGTACTACCTAGCCCAGGCTGCACACTACTCGTTGGCATTGTCGCCAACGAGTAGTATACAGCTTATCCCTGCCGGGCCTGTGTTCCATTAAAGATGAGTTGATAACTGATTCATGGGTTACATAAAACTGCAGTCGAGAGTGAATCGATTCCCTCGCATAAGAACTAAATATGACATGAATCCAAGCGTTGGCTCTCCCAAAGTCGACCTGAATCGAGCAGCCAGCCTGAGGGCCACCAAATGAATCGGTTCGATATCTTTGTTTTCTAAGACATTACACAACCAGTAACTGTACAGTACAAGATCGGTACATGCATTGGCCATGGACAAATGGTCTATAAATACAAATATAATGAGACCAGCATGCAAACAGTGAATGTGGGATGCTCAATGCTGAATCCGCCACACTGCGAGAGGATGGTTTGACTAAGGACTGATTCAGTGGACTGGTATGTGAATAGACAAAGAAATGTCATCAGACGAAACCAATATCGGAATCCAATCAGATCAACATGATTCAGGAATCGATAGTGCATCAGTTCCAAAAAATGAATCGACCTTCACACCGCCACTAGCAGCGAAATCTTCGGCGGTGGCAGCTGCACACACGGTTAACAATCGCGACTGAATGGTCTTGCCTGGCTTGTGGGGCTGGCGCCCATTAGGAAGCAGCCCTGAACGCCAGGCGAGTGTCCCACAAGAGTTTGTTACTTTTCGTACCGTCTCCGCACTGGCTTGCGTTTCAAAACAAAATCCGTGCATCGTAATTTTGTGAATGGCTACAATTCTGTGCGTCGTTCGCTGCGTAAACGTCCCCCCTTGTAAGCCAAGGCACACCGAACTAAGGCGTCAGCTGCGGTTTCGGATGGCTGGATTCGAGACGGCGCTGGAGCCCGTGTGCCGCGGCGGGTCAGCATGGCGTGGCGTGGCGAGTGGGCAGCCACGTCCGCCGGCGGCCGGCTTTGATCCGCCAATGCCGGCCGGCCAGACGCGCCGCTGCTTTACGGCCCGTGCCGGCGCCCCTCGGGAGCGGCGCACATTACCGGCCCGGCCGACCGCCACCCCGATTGGCATTCCTCCATCTGTGCCGCTGGCGTTTTCAAATCTCGTCACATCGCAAATCCGAATTAGATTCACTCCCCGGACGGCCGAAGCCGCGCACCTTGTCTGGCTGCCGGCCGGCCCGCCCCGGCAGCTGCCAATCTCCAGCGCCCGTGATGAACGCCAGCCAATATACTGACGCGGCTCGCTGCAGGAGACGTCATATGGACATGGCCGGGCCTCAAGTGTCCAGATTTTAACACACGACGCTGCCAATGATGTGGCGCTCCTTGCTGAACAACCAGCCTCCAGCAGACGCTTTCAAGAGACCTGCATGGCATCACAGATACATTGGGTTCGTACGAAAAGCCACACCTGGCAAACATTTCACGTATAGGACCCGCTGCGCTCAGGCGGAGTCGCATGACTAACCGGAGATGAGACGCACGCAAGTAGAGATACAGATAGATACAGCCACATTAACATGTCCACGTGATTACCCTTCCCCAATCATGGGCAATAACCAGCCATTCATTGTTACAGTTTGACGCGTTTAAGTTGTGTCCGCTTTCTGAACGCCCGAGCATCTATTTCAAGATTGTCGGGCATTATATCCCCGAGAAATATCCGAGCCAGACATCAGTCCGGTTCCAGTGCTGAGGATAAAATTGAAGACAGCAGAAGGGGGTGATTTTTTCAAACGGAATCACTCAATTATCATCCAGATTTTTGACATTCGTTCGTAATTGTTCGCGAATCTTGATGGACAGTGCAACTTCGCGCCGCCTGCTCTGTTTCTCCAGGATTAAGCACATTACCTACCCAGCATGAAACAAAAATCACACAACGCACCACACTGTTATATCTGTCGAATAACATTATTTACACTGCGAAACCACCTGGCCTTGACACTCGAGTGTCGTTTACGCGGTGTTTATGTCACGCAACAATGCAGTGCTACACGGGCGAAATACGGCGGCAAGTCGCTTGAACACGGGCATTATCAGGATTGGAACAGCTGGACGGCGGTCCGCCGCTCAGTGGGGCCGCACCAGCGGCTGCAGCTTCTGTAGCAGCGGCTCCAGCGTCACGTCCAGGCCAGCTATGTAGCCCGTGTTCGCCGACGCAGAGGCCACCACCGTCAGGATCAGAGGGTCCAGACGGAACTGGACAATCTGGAAGGCACCAGCGGCAGTCGTCAGGCCAGCGCAGGCTGTGACCCGCGACAATGCTTCTGCTGGTCCGTGTCACCAGGCTTGGCACAACTGTCATACGACACTGGCGGCGACATGCGAGAACGCACCAGAGAACGCAGACAGTACAACACAACAAATTACTGCTTTACATCGCGTGAAATTGGTCTGATCAAGCAAATGGCAGGCCCTTGCTTTGGAGCCGCGTCCTCGGTGAAAACACACTGTGGAGTCAGACTCGGACTCGGAGTCGGTCCAGCCGTCAGCACACGGAACACAACCCAATCAAACATGCTTGCAAAACACCGCAGAAGGTGAATGTCGCAGAGTCCATGAGCTCAGCGAGCACTATTCGCAGAAAGGTAAATGTTTCCGATTGCGGGCCGCGCCAGACCCGGCCATCAAGTGCGACCCGATGCATTTGTAACCACTGATTGTAGCCTGTGCAGCTTTCCGCCATAAGGGACGCAATTATCTACATGAGCCGTTAGGCAATGTCAACAGCGTCCACATCGACGCTGTTTCATCGGCCATTTTCCTGAAACACTGAAAAATCAGCAAGTACATGTACAGAACCCAAGCTAATTCACGTGGGTAACACATTTTATGCTAGCGAAAAGGCCACAAATGTGCCGACACCAGCCAAATACCTCAGCACCCCCGCGCCACAACAGGAGCACGAAGTGAGAACCACCTGACGAAAGAGTGATAGACAATCGCGTCAGCAAAATACTTCAGCAAAACGCTGATCATCGCTACACCCGGCTACGTGCGCTCCAGAGTCAAACATACAGCAGCCAGTCTCTGAGCGTTTATAGTGCTTTGCATCAGTTTTCGACAACAGAGCGGATCAAGACCTGGCACCGACATGGCGTGACAATACCACGTACCTGCACCATATGTACCGACTACCGGCCAGCCACTATAACTGCCGGCCACTACCGAACTCTACGCCGCTCGGGTCACAGCGAGGCCAGAATTCCAACACGATGCCGAATAGAAGCCGCCTTGTCACTCTGAACAATACCAACACAAAGTATTTTAGTTTTTCACGATTATTATTTCACAGTCAGCGAACCTAAATCAATCTATACTCATCTTTCTCCTTCACTTAAATGGCCAGGCCTAGCTCGGCACCTCTCCGACAAATCTGCTTTGTGAATTAGTCTCAAACATTGCATCGGTAAGCGTCTTCGCCTTCTATACTCTGATGAAAAGGGGCATTCAATGCAGTACTATCTCCTCGTTCCCATATGGTAAGTGTGTCAAACTGAAATATGAGAGACGACCTGACCTGAAACTCATTTCAAATGGAGAAACGTGAAAATTGCTCCATATGGGGAACATTGGGAGGGGTCAAAATATATTTTATTGTGACAGCTACAGAAGCCACCGTATCCATCCATATCTGGCATGCCAACACCTTCACTTTGCGACTTCATTAACGACTTTTCACTGATTCCATCCAATTTACTGTCCAAGACAAAAGTGTTGTTGCGTTGTTGCGATTGCAGAGTTGCGATTAACATCTTAATGATTCTTTCATTTGGCTTTTAAAGATACACATATAGGTCAATTTGGACAAACTCGAATTTAACTGACATCACTTTGCTAGTTACAAGTAATGTCATTTCCTCCAGTTATCCATCAATCTTGATGACTCCATACCTTGCTTCAAATACATTGCTGACGGCAAATCATCGCTCCGACAAAGACGCACCTGATGTTTTCCGTAGAAGTTGAATATCTTCTTGTTTTTGCCCAGATTCATTTTGGCGGCCTGATCGGAGAGAACTGTGAACGCCGAGAGGTATTTCACACCCGTCGTGTGCTCGGGGCACGCGGGCTTGCACACTGAAAATGGCCAACACGGTGAGCGGAGTCCGCTGCACACCACGGGCAGGAGAGCCCATACAATCATCAAGTACAACTTGATGGCTGAATATGACAGAAATTTGGTTTCGGAGTCAGAACACTTAATCAGGTCATGTATCAACACGCGCCTCAGCTCTCTCACGGGCTCTCAACATTACCATAAATGGCCTGCGGCCCAAGACTGGGACCCTTTCTGGACTGGTACATTCCAGATTGATTATGGCCAGTATACAAACTTCAAACTCACTGTGCATGTGACTCCTTCCTGATGAAAATGATCGCAGCTCATGCAACTCATGTGTTCCTATACTTTGCGTTATTTTGGGGTGAGGGGGCCTGAAGCATACAGCACAGGGGTGGGTGGTGCAAGCACTGGTGGGAAGACCATGACAAAGAAGACATATAGCTTGGAAATAGGTGGAGCGGCCACTGCCTGAGAAGCAATAGAGCAGTGGGGCAACTGTACGGATGGCAAGACGTACAGAGGGCACAGTAGCAAAACACGGGAAGAGGCACATGAGAAGGGCAACGTAGATGGAATGTCAAAGACGGCGAAATTGAGAAAATGTGCCAGGCACAGAGGGTGGTGACACATGGATGACAGAACAAACCTAAAAACACACAAAACAGTCAGTGATGTCAAGATGGCTAGTAAAACACCAAGGCAGGACACCACCATGAGGGATGAGGCCTTGTGGGCACCAGCTGGTGAGACATGGATGCACCTACACCAATAGGTGAGGAATGGACATGTGGGAAAGGAACAGACTGGTCGCTGACAGTGCCTCCAGTCATTTCTCACACACTGCAAATCTCTAATTCAGAATTATTTTAGGGACCTGCCACATTTGCATACCAAAATATGCATATACACATAAATATTTCAAGAACACAAGTTGGAGACCAAAGCAGCCTTACCTTTTATCAGACAACAACCTTCCTTGTCATGAACTGCAATACCTTCGATCCCATGCTCCCTGGAACAGTGAGTGGAATAATTCCAATACAAGCAGTAATGTTTGTTCGGAAAATATCATTGCTGGGCAACTGCTCAGCAAAACATCCCTTGCTGGTAACAGTTGGTGCATTTTTTGAATGATACCATGCTACATCAACAATCACGGCAAGTTTATCAAAGCTTATGTTTGTAAAAGTTTGTCTGTCCCAGTGGCTCAGTTGGTTAGAGTGCCTGCCTTCCGATCCACCCACCCGCGGCAGGGTGAGTTCGAGTAGCTTTAGGGCGCTTGCTATTCGCCCTTGACAGGTATGGCCCGCGGTCGGTGGCAGCGGTCGCGCTGAAGGTCAGTTAACGTCAGAGGGCAGAATGGGCTGTGCCCAGGATTGCAGCATGTTAACCTTTCTGCGCTAAATTCTGCCATTGCCTGGAATTGCACAATCAGATGGTAGGGTTCAGGGCTCACACAACAAGCACTGCTTAGTGTGACCTCTGATCCAAGAAATGCATCCATTTAAAGGGTCTGAATCACATTTATAATAAAAAAGCAGAAGGCTATGGCAGAATGCTACACAGTTAATGAGCATCATGAATACCAACATAGTATAGAATCACTGGTGGTGGTGGAATCCTTATGGTGGAAAATTACTTAATTTGTGTTCCTGAATGGAAAAAACAGTAACCGGCTGTGGCATGAACAGAACAGGCTGCACCAGGTAGGAACAAATGAATACCCCATTACAAAATGCCAAGCAAAGAATGCCATGAATAACACACATCCAAAGGCACAAAAGGTGACATAAAAACTGGTGTAAGTTCATGACTCACTGATAAAAACTTCAATAACAATCATGACATTGTTAAACGGCACTGGTGCACAGCCAACACCACGTTGGCACTAGGTCAACCTTCTCCAGTCTCCCCTCACCCACACACAACTTAAACACAATACCAAATTCAGGGTTTTAAAGACCCAGGGGAAATGAGAGCAAGCTAGTGGAGTTTAACATATCCACATGCTTCTTGCTCCTTCTGCCTCCAGCCCCAAACCCTGGCAATGCAACTGAAGTGACAGCACATGACATATACTCAACACATGGAGAGGCACTGATAGCCATACATGAGATGCAAAAGGAATTTTTGTAAAACCCTTCAGCACATTGAGCTTTGATGTATCTTATTTATTTGTAATTGCAATATAGAATACATACCCATGTAAAATGTTTTCCAATTGCTTCTTAGGATCCTGGAAGGGTGCACATTTTATTACCAAAATGATAACAATTATTTAAATAATTCATGCACTATACTGCATTATGCAAAAATCAACCATGTTCATGCTGTGCATTCCTTGCACACAAACACTGCACTCTCCCACCCTCTGATGACTGACTGAAAACTATTTTTCTTATCAAAACCAGGTTTTGGTAGGTCATCCAGAAGTTGGCTCATCAACCTGTCTGTTTACGTAAGCAAAACAGAATGTATGACAGGCAATGTTTTTCACAGTTGTCACAAAACCTGTAACACTGAACTGTCATCACTGGCAGTTACCACTTGGCACTGTTATCATAACAAATCAGCTTTTCATCAACAATTTATCAATGTCATCAACAATGGGGACCACACACTACCACAATAAAAGTTGCACAACCCATTTCTTACCATTTTCATACTTCATGCTCAGACAAAAACATTTAATGGTCATTGCAAGAGTGAAAAATAATCAAAAAGTGACACAGGCACAATCTAAGCAGACTAGGATACAATAACATTGCAGATATTTCACATGAAAAAAATGTTAACCCTGCCCATGCTTTTGATGATGACTTTCACAGTATTTCATTTTACTTGAAGGAACAGGCTGAACCTGGATCAAATCCACAAATCAGTTAGACCCACGAGGCCCCCAGACTTTCTTACTCTTGCCCCTCATAACCATGGTAAAATATACAGCAAGCAGGTGAGCTAGCACCCAGCACCACTGACTTAAATGAGTTCAATTTAACTGTCATCAAAATATACTCGAACTGGCAGCTTGGCCACACTAACTTTCCTCGATTATCAGGGTCTTCGGGCGCACCGACCGCTCGGATCATTCTGCGCTCAGTAATCTCGTTTTCCATACTTACAGCGTACGAAACGTAACAAATGACAATTGAATTGGCACCAAACACCTACATGGCTTTCGAGCATGCTCTCCACTTGGATGAAATTCGCGCCGCACGGCCACCAGCAACATCAGACCACAAAACACTACAGCGCAAACATGGTGGGAAATGAAGGTATACAAGGACCAGACAGTCACTAAGTGATGCGCTTACGCTGTGCTCAAATACCCGCGTGACGTCACTGGAAGCCACTCTGTCGGCAGGCCAGCGCGGGCTCGATCAGGCTCGAAGCGACTCGATTTCCCCTCGCTGATGCCTCCTGCCATACTCCGATTTCAACGGACGCTACATCATGGCATGTGATGTACTTCCATGCAGGCCAGCTAATAGTGCGTGGGAAGGGCGCGTGCAACATGTGACTCAGACATAGGCGTAAGAACGTTTCAAAAAGACGGGGCCAAGCTCAGAGCATACTTCAGAAACTTTTTCTGGAAAGCAAGTCCGATGACCGGAGGGGGATGGAGATGGAGGTTGTTACCGCTCTTTTTTTAGATGCCATGGCTGCTATGCTAGGTACGCGTCTAAAGCTGTTTCTCACTGGTGCACAATCTTGCCTATTCGCCTCCATGTCATTCGGCAAATAAGGATTTCCAGCTTCCCAAGATTATTCCTCCACTGCAGCATTAAGAAATAGGAGAGGCAAAATTCCACGAGTGGGTGGGCCATTGAGAAGGCATCTGTCTCCACAGGGTAGATGCCAAAATACGGCCTGGGCATAAGCTGATGAGAATTTTTAAAATTGGATGGATGGCTCACAGTACGACAGGTTTTTCATGCGCCTTCATTTCGCTGACTGCTTTTCAAGAGTCGGTTTGAAACTGCCAAAAACAATGTGACAAACGCCATAGAACTGGGGAATGTCCTTTAGGAACCAAGGCACAAAGTGGAGGTCCTTCTGTCATATATTCCTTATCTGTGCCCTGCTCCCGTCCGTCGTCAGCGGCTACTGCCCTGGCCCGGCTGTCTCCCGCAAAACATTGCGAACTGATAGCATGGCTCCCTTGTTGTATATTTTTGGGTCAGCATTACTACTAATTGGTGTATAAAAGACACGTCGGACGCCCGCAACATTATCTTTTCGAATTACCTTCTCTCACACCACACAACGGAGGAAAAAGGCCTGGGGGAAGCTGCCTGCCTTAGGTTTGAATTGACCCAACGGACATTTCATTGTCCATCATTCAACGTAGACTACTTGATCTGCTTTTGCGTGTAGGCAGGGGCGTAGTCAGAGCCTTGTTAGAGGGAACACAGAGTTAACAACAAAACTCCTCTTATGGTGAACCCCATCCCAACAAATCCCTGGATATAGCTTAGTTGTTAGCAAGGGACACGTGTTTCTTCTTTTTATTGTCATGTTTGCCTTGTAACCAGGACAAAAACTAAAACCTCTGTAAAATCAATTCTGTTTGTATTTTGAAGTAAATAAACTGCAGAACTCAGGCGTTGAACGACCGCATGGAGTAAATCACCGGCGCCCTTCATTTATAATGGTTTACTGAGCCCTTTCTAGGCCGATATAATTCAAAAGCTTTGTCACAATTTTTATCTGAGTTCTACAGACATTAAGGGCATCGCGAAGGTAGATTGTAGATTGATATGCTTGAACGAAATTTGAAGATAAAATTTTATTGCAGTTCGAGTGGTCAACAGTGTGTATGAACATAGCCAAACCATGTTTGTCTGGAAATGTTCAACATCCAGTCAGAATCTCTAAGTGATACAATTTATGCAACGTGATTTTTTAACATGCGCAGTCGCAACTCGCACTTGCTAGCAACAAAAATATCGACACCTGGCGTTGCAGTCTTCATAGTCCGCGGGGCGTTAGCCTAGTGGCTAACTTTTGGCCGAGGCCCACCAGTGGACGAAAATGATGACGTTCTAGAATAATTACCTTTATGCATTTGAATCAATTAGCAATACTAGTTATATGACGTAGTTTTGGGGACGCACACTCGCAAATGTTAGTAACAAAACCTCGACACCAGGCAGTGCAGCCTTCGTAGGTCGCCCAGCGTCGGCCCACCAGCTTATATTGAGCTCTGGCTAGCGGGTGGACGAAAATGATCTCTGAAAAAGTACTTTTGAGCGCTTTAGGACATAAAATCTTGCATTTTGAAGCAAGTCTTCTGACATATTTCACGTGTACGATTTTTAGACTGATGATAAGAACGGATTAACCCTTAAAGCACCGCGAAGTGGTGCTGGAATCTGGTGATGGAACTGGAAGAACGAAGGTACGGGCTTTATTTTTCGTGTTTCTGTAACTACCAACCTATCAACAACAAAAAATAAACGCGGCATCCGCCGTCTGGTGGCACTTGCAGTTGCCGACGCCGTTTGGTTTCACGGAAGCTGCAACCCAGGCCATCGCTGCCCTTGCTCTCGAGGTCGCGGGCGGGCACGTTCAAACCTTTTGATATAATTTGTTTAACTAACCCCTTCTGAAAAAATGAACGTTCTCAGACAAACACGGGGTGGCCTTGTTGGTTTTTTAACCTCATTTCGATCCACTCTATTCAACAATAATGAGACCCCCACTCTACTTAACAATAACGAGATCCCATATTTATTTCCGGGCAAGGGGCCCCTTCAGTAGAACATCAACGGCACATTACCATTTCCGCTCAAGTGCTGAAGGGTCATTACGTCCCATCGCGAAGTGTCTTCAGGCTGTCATTCTGGCAACATGGGGCAGAATATCCTGGTCGATCCGGGGGCCATTAGAAATATATACCATATCAAATTGCTCCCCTCCCTGAGACGGGAGTCCTGCTGCCCAGCGAAGTTGGCCCTGGATCAGCACAGGAAGCCTCACTGACGCAGGAATATCCCTGATCGCCGCAGGCAGTCAAATGATTGTCACACAGACTCCGGTTTCATGTTTTTCTGTGTCATTCGGAGATATTGAGGACTCCCTGAGCGTAGATTGTAGATGAAATGGGGTCCCAAATTTGCATCAACATGGCTAATCTTTGCTCCTTTTAAAATGTCCAAGATTCAATCCGAATTGTTTACTGAAAAACTCAGTAGTAGGTTTCGGAACATGCGCACTCGCAAGTCATAGGAGCAACAGCCTCGACGCCCGGCGTTGCAGTTTCCATAGGCCACGCGGCGTCGGCCCTGCGGTTGTAATAGTAAGCGATGGCCAACGAGCAAATGAAAAAGATGACGCATCTTGAGGAAGATGGCTGCTGGACTAGGTAAATCGGTATGAATGTTTAACGTTGTGCAAAAGTGAGCTAAGCACAACCTTTATCTGAAAAGTGTGTGTGGGGGGGGGGGGGGGCAGTTAACACTGCTGGCCCCCAAGTTGAAAAGTGGGGGCTATGGCCACCCGCCCCCCCCCCCCCCTCCCCCTGTTCCCACACCCATATGACCCAGAGACGTAAACGACAAACAGCGATTTCAACACGCTGCAGACGCCAGGCTGTTCCTCAGAGTGGCCGCCAAACCGGAACACCTCCGGGCGGCGCAGCAGTTCTGGACTCTCTCGAAGAGCGCGGCATCGCGACTGCTTTCTGGCCTGAAGGTCGACAGGGCTCTTGGAGGCACAGCAAGCTGTGGCTCCTTTTTAGTGACGAGACGGACCGGAATGGCCCTCCGAGCGCGGCATATTTGCACAGCTCCATAGCGCGACAGCTTGGCGCAAGTACTCAAGCCGTTCGGCAGGCCGGAATACCTAACGACAGGCCTAACACTTCCCAGCGGCACAACAGGTCCGGACACCTCTCCCAGCAGCACAGCACGCTCATTGGCTTCTGCGAGCTGCGCAGCAGACGGGGAGCGCTGTGCTGTCTGCTGCTCGCCCGGCTGCCGCGGTGTGCCTGCGCTCCACAGCCGAGCTCTTTTTCTTGCGTGGCCGTGCTCAGTTTATTCCGACATTTGCACTTGTAAGGCATGGGTGAAAAATGATGAGAAACTGGGGAGCCAAATGTGCCTGAACGAACGTTTTTGAATGGTAAAATTGTAAAAGTGGGTAATTTTTGCGAAAATAACAATCCTGCGTTTTACCAGAGAAAGATGTTCGGTTCACCATTGCAACATTTTGGTTCAGTTTCGTAAAAAGTTGCTGTGGTCGCTGACAAGCCTGTTATATCGCATTTTACACCCACAACGTCATGTGAGATGGTACACCCACCTACCCGGGCCACCTCAGGCAGGCTAAGTACGGCTACATGGCCAGCCGGGTCAGTGGACCGGCGCTCGACCTAGCACAACCGTCATCATAACACACCTCCCCATGACGTGGGGAGACCATCTCACACGTCCGACCATACAGCCGTCGTCCCTGCCGTCACCGGCGTTGCCACAGTCCGTGCCTCGCAGACAGCACTGCCGGATCGACCACGGCCACGTGCACGCGGATCGCGCACCTAGCGTCGTCACGGCCGCCGCTGTCACGGCTGCCGCCTCCACTAATGCAGCCGCCGCTGCCGCGGCCGCCACCGAAGTCGGGGCAGCCGCCGATCCCTGCGCTGTCTCGATCCCTGCGCTGCGAGATTGTCATGAGCGGTCTTACAGGATGGAGGCGCTGGTGGCTGCAGCAGCGCCTGCGCACGCTGGGCAGGCGTATCAGGATGTCTCACCGCCTGTCCATGGCCGAGACGGCGCCACCTCAGCCTCACAATTTCTTACAGTAGGGTGAGCGGGATGTACGCATAAATGAGCTTGCACAATATCGACACAATATTTCATTAATTGCAACTGCCGGGTGCACAGGCGTCGATGCGTCAGGGCTTGAAAGTATGCGGATATGACCGATAAAACGTTGTGATACCTGATACCCCTTACGTTGTTATGCATGTCTTATATGCTGATGAAAACAACATCCAAAGAATTCCACACACCGATTTACTCATGTCTAGCAAGAATTACCTTGAACTATGCGAATGTCGACAGCGCAATGCGCCGCCTATATGCGCGCTTGCAACTGCACCTAGGCGCATATAGCTGTGCAGTGCACCAGGATTCACATATAGATGTTTTGTGCTTGCTTCCGGAGGACGCAAAACAAAATCGGAGACTTTGGGAGAATCTGGCATTCTAGCAGTGGGGCTAGAAATGCTCTAGCCGTTTCTAGTAGGTGTGGCATCCGATAAAAT